AAACGCCCAGTTCCTCCTGAGGGCAGTGAGAACTGCAGATGCCCATCATCTTGCATGACAGCACCAAGCTGCCCAACAATTTCAAATGCAAGATTTACTGCTAACACATCCTGTAAGAGACTTCATCTCAAAAGAGAGAAGCATTGTATATGCCGAAATTGGGGGGGGGGCCGGGGAAGGCGTGACGTCCTTGGATAACACACTTTTCCAAATTCCAAAGCTGTGCCAGCTGCATCAAGAGATGTAGTGCAATAGTTTTAACAGAGAATAAAGGATGAGGAGGTGCTACAGAGGTGCAGTGCAATAATTTACAACACAACCTTATTTGTGGTGCATAAGGCAATCCTGCTTTGAAGACTCACTGACCTGAACATGCGCATTAAGTCTCCCTTGTTCTCTTCTTCTTAAGCTGGAGATAAAATGAGACTAATAATTTTTTTTTCCCCACTATAATATGCGAGGGCTGAAAAAAAGCCTAACTGGCAGGTGTTAGCACAACTGTGAGTTTGTGTTCTCAGAATCCAGGAGGGAAGATTTCAGACAGGCTTTTCTCTGGGGTCAGTCTCCTCCACCGACTCAGACCTTGCTTCTGTTTGCTTTTTCCTATCCGAACTCCAGATCCACTATTATCTTTCTTGTTCTCTCTAAAAATAAGTCAAACATCTCCGTTTGCTAAATAGCCCACTGCTGTAATTTGTCACCTTCTGAAATTACAGTTCAAAACTCACTTTTAATTTTTTTTCCCTCCCATCATCAGCTCTTTACACCCTGGCATACGTAGCACACTGCTTCCTGCCATCTTCTTTCTAACTAGGCTCAGATTAATTAACAAGAAATAGATTTTTCTGTATTACAATGCTAAAGCCCTTCTTTCTTCACAAATTAAAAACAAGATGATAGATCTCTTCATCTGGATGGTGGTTTTGATATTACAAAAATAGTATTCAATCTGCATGGTGGATAATAGAAATTTTAATAACTATTTAATGAATTGTTTTCACGTCGGACTGAGTCATGATTATGGTTTTTGTTTCATGACGTTATTTTTAATGGACGTGAAGGAGGACTAGGAAGCTTCCACTGAAACCAGATGTCAACTGCGCCAGTCCCAGTGAATATGCTTAAAACCAAAAAAACAATAAGAGGCCTTGCTCCAGAGGGTATAGATGTGGCAAAATCAAGCTAATGAGCAAGTGAAATATCAACTTCCATTTGATAGACAAAAAGTGAAAAGCCCCTGGTGTCAGATCTGTCATCTGCTACAGCCTCTCAGTGACCTCACCTGGTCATAAGACTCAGGACTGGAAATGTGCAGCCATTGACTGCCGCCAAAAATTCACGTTGGCCCCTTCTGCTGGCTTTCACAAGGCTATTAAAGCATTTCCAACTCATAGCTTACAGTATACCAAGAAATAAATGCCCTGGGACAGTCTGGAGGAGCGCAACACATCCTGCGTTACCCACGTTCAGCATCCTCACCGCTGTTTGCACTCACATGTAACGCAACAATATCACTTTCAGATTTGTCAGAAGCAAACAAAATCTCTCAGCAAAGCTTCAGTTGGAAGTCCCAAGCTCATGCTGAATTCTGTAACTTGGAGAGATTGAGTTAAAAAAAAAAAGGGGGGGGAATGTGTGAAGAACATATAGCCCCCCTCAGTACTCTACTACAAATAAGTGTTCTGTCTCAGCATTTTACCACACTGTTGCTCTTTCTAGAAACCGTTGACTGGCACAACAGTGCACACTGCCCAGCAAGTTGCTGATTTAGATTTGACTACATCCAATGTTTTAGTTAAGTAACCTGCTCTCTGGAGCTCACAGAAAGCTCATTTGGAGAATAATGCTGGCAGCAAATCTGTCATCTACAGAGACAGCTGGGGATTTTCCCCCCCTAGTTCAACACTTACCATCTTAAACTGCTCGTTGATGCAATTCCCTTATCCCTCACACAGTTCATATGGTTGTGCCTCTCTAAATCATAACCCTTACTCCTGGCCCGGGCAGCTGGGAGTCCCTCCTGTCCTTGCCCCAGGGGTGAGATCCTGCAGTTTGTGCTGTACATGCAGTCACTTCAGCAGGTCACAGGTTGTCACGCTCCATCATTACTCACACACTGCTAGACCCCCTCAAAAAGGCTGAAAGAGGCAGGACATTCCTCCACACCACTCTTAGCGACATTTGCCTTCTTTCTTACCAAGACTCAAATTCTTTCTGTTTTAGACGGGGAGTATCCCTAAAGCCACACTGCTTAGTCTCTACATGCTGTATCTCCCAAGGAGGGAGGTGCAGCAAGTGCTCGGTGGCATAGCTGAGAACATCTGCAGGATAAAACCCTGGAAGGTCTGAACAGCATGAACATCCAGAACTAACCAACGACAACTAGTGTATGTAAAAATCCTACAACAGGGTCTACTGATCGCAATGTGCACTGACAGCGGCACTGCCTCTTCTCTTTCCACTGGTCAAACATGTTTGCAAAAAACAGCAAGTGAAGAAGGAAGGTGGTGTAAAAGACAACCCATAGCATTTGGAAGTCCTTAAAGTCACAGATTCTGGAAAGAAAAGAAGAAAACCTGCCTCCTCCCAGAGACCCAGCTTCACATTCTTCAGTAGGGAAAAAAAATCAAAAAACTTTAAGACTCTACTGTAGGGGACAAAGAAGGAATAAGAGCTGCTAATCCTCCCTGACCCTCACTGTGCTTTGTCTTGGCTCACGTCTGCACACCAATGGTATCATCTATCACTTTCCAAAAACACTGCTCGCTTCCTCTATTTTTGTAATACTATCCCCTGGCATGACAAATACTACCTCTTGTCTTTCTTTTCTCCTCATCTCAATTTGACATACCAGTATAATTTCTTTCTATAACAATGGCACATTTTGTAACAAAAAAGATCCCCCAACCGCTGAGTTAAGTTACTGTTGAATCTTCAGTTCTGCTATAGCACAAGACTCATTTGAAGTGAGTCATTCAAATGATCTAAAGTCTTACACATTTATGAAAATTATAAAATGTCTCTCACATGGTGTAGGAAGAGTAATAAGACCACACTGCACCCAGAGGCACAAAACCACCCAGCTACCTGCCTGTCGTCATACTAGGAGCTGTGCTCCCCTTCTATACCCCTCCTATGGTGTCAGCTTGCCTTTTGAGCTTGTAACAACCCCTGTGAACCCATGTGTGTGGGCTCAGTCTTTTTCACAGTCCTCTCACACCTATGCAGTCCTGGCTGCGGCAGTGAAGTTACTGCCAATTTACACTGGACTGATCTGCACCAAGAAGCAGATGCTCCATGACTCATGCAGTACTTACAAACACAAGTTATGGATAACAGCACGATAATTAACAATACCAAATGTCACCTCAAATTCAAATATGCAGATGTTAATGCCCATGGCATACGACCATGTTAATTTAGGAGGCAGTGTTTGCTCCTGCAAGCAGCCCTTTAGTCAATACCTCACAATCCTCCAGTGCCGTTGACCACAGCATGGTTTCCCTTGTAGACCATGCAGATGTAAACCATGCAGGACTCCTCTGCACGCTGCAGTGGGGAAGAAGGCAACAAACTCCTGCCCTGCAGACTCCATGGGAAATCAAATACCATCTACAAAGAACTGCAGGCAATAAAGAAAAAAAATAAAGTGAAAGTAAAAGCAGCTGATTTTCATCTATCACATGAATAATTTTTAGCTAATTCTCAGTGTCAGAAAGGGCCAAACATTCAGAAGAGAGGAACAACTACCTCCGGCCTTGAAAAAAACAAACAAGAAAAGACAACTGTCAGCACTGCTAAGAGCTAAATCCCCCCAAGCAAACAGTCCTAGTCCAGCTAAGAGACAGAGAGCAAGTCAAACTGTAATCAGCAGTGGTACACAGTGGCCCTTCCTTGAACAGACTTCCAAGTGCTCACAGTCCAAGGTATTCCACATGACTAACACACCGCTTTAACTGTCACATAGAAATGCCAGGGGACTTGGGGATTACAAGCAAAGACCTAAGATGCATGAGGAACCGAAGCTGGAATTTTCCCATAGTGACAAGGTCAGAATTGCCACAGAATGTGTGTTTTCCCTAGCCAGGCGGGATGTCGCATTAGTCCCTGCGGAAGACAGCTCCTGCAGCATCTCCCAGCCAGGCTGGGCAGTAACACCAAGAGCCCAGTGCCATCTACTGGGCTGCTCACCCGCTCCCTCCGCCTGCAGCCAGACTCCCTGACACCGCTCTCAAGTGTGGATACCCCAACCCTTTTTAGACCGCTGCCGCAGCAGTCACCAGATAAAACGATCCAGTAAAAGTACTTCAGTTGTAGGCTAGGTCTAAGTCCTTACAAAAGAGCCTGGCCGGTCGTGAAGCTGCCTGGAGGGGCCCTGAACTGAGCCCAATGAGAAGACACTACTCCAGCTGCACTCTGGTCCATGCACCAGTCCAGCTCAGAGCAGGTACCCGCAAACCAGAGTAGTTCCACAAGAGGCACTACTGCACGTGGCCTGGGCCGCTGTGGGCAAAGATATCAAAACCACTGTTAGTCAGTGCATATTAGACAGCGATCACTATAATGCTGGTTATATGCCAGTTGGTGATGAGTAACTGGGAAGCAGTAGCTCAGGTTCTCTGGATTTTCAGATGCTGGAGGTCTGTGCCCCACCCTCCTGTGGCTATCTGATCAATATAAATCATGTTTCATTGCCTGCTACACAATCCACATTCAGGAGCCCAGTGTCACGACTGAGGCAGTCACGAATCTAGAGCTAGCCAGAGACAGACCTTGAAAGAAAAACAAAAACCAGTGTCCATGCAGCCCTGAATGGGCTTCACAAAGCTTTGGAGTTCGCAGGTCACAAGAGTGATATGAAAGACAAAAAAAAAAAAAAAGAAAAAAGACACCTGAAATTTAGTTGGACAAATGGGCAGAGTAAAAATGTTAATAGAAAATATTTATTGCTTAAAACTGTCTCTGGTTACGTGAATGGCAAGTAGGAGGTCCCCACCGGATCAGTCTGCCAGCTCGTCCCTCACCAGCACAGGGAATCGCTTGCCTCCTTCACAGAGCTGCGTGTAAATCGCCCGATACAGCTGAGCCGCAGGGGCCTCCGGGTAGAGCCTGGACTCCAGGACAGGCAGGAGTTCTGCCATCATGACCTGGCCAGGAGCAAAGGAGACATGTCACCAGAGCCAGTGTGCACTTTTAGGATTCCATGAAGTGCAGTGGCTGCATAACAAGTCTAATCTAACCTCAGCAGCATGACTAATAACATGCTAATGGATAGACAGATGCTTTCTTTTGTCATATTTAACAAAGGCAGAGTTGTTCATTCTCTGCTCATGAAGTACACCAGCAGGCACCCAGCGTTTCTAGAGCAGCAAGATAAATGGTAGTGCTTTTCCACTGCTGCAGAGATGGGCCAAAACTGGGACAAGATCAGAATTGCGCAAGAAGCTGAAGCTGATGTTGATTCAGGAGCGGGGTAACCACACAGAGAAGTGCTTACTCACCCAGCAGTAAATTCAGCCCTTCACTTATGACTGTTCCTGTCACATCTCAGTTGGGTCACATTAATCCAAGACAGACGGGCAAGTGACTAACTCCATCCAGCCCAAACAGAACAGTGCTGCATGCCTCCTCGGCAGCACAGGATGTCCAACATTCCCCAACCTGGCCTCCTGTTTATTAAGTCCTCTGGTTTTTTAAGTCTAGCTCATGGTATCAGTCCATGCTCTCAAACAACCCACTGGCCTGTCACAGGATAATTAACAGCACAAAACTCCGGGATTATGACTGTGGTTGACAACTCCAGCACAGATGAACTTCCAATCAAAGGACAAAAGTTAGCCTTTAGTGCCCCACTCTTGAAATAATGCTCAGAAATTTTGCCTAGGATTTTTTTTTTCCTCAGCTGGCATCAGCTAATGAAGTCTGAGCAGTCTGTACATTGAAAACCCACACAGCCCACTGTACACACTGCCTTCCCAGAAGAAAAGTGGACAATCAACTGCATGTGTGAGTCACCTCCCTCAAAGCATTTTTCAGCAGTGGAAATAAAGGAAGATCCAAACAGAACAGAGTACAGGGCACCTGCAGGGGGTTCCCTTTCTTGTTCTCCATGTGTCTCTGCACAGGGACAGGGAAACAGGTCACAGCTGCTAGTCTCGGGGAAGATTTAAGAGCTGCAGACATGAAAGCTACCTAAGGGGAAAGTTGGCACATGAAGGAATGCTACACTGCTCCACTTCCTAAGAGAGAATCCCTTCTCTTTTCCATCTGTCTGGTCTGCTCCTGATCCATAAGAATAGAGCAAATAGGCCTTCACCACCAGACAGGCTAAGAGCTACCAGGACTTTCTACAATTCTTGGCATTTGTCCGTGGAAAGGCAATAGACAGGCTTGGCCCAGAAATATGTATGTCCCTTCCCAGAGTACTTATTTTGTACCAAGTCCATTCACTTCACCTATCCCAAGATTTTCACCTATGTTGCACACTGCACAGAGCTGCTTCAGATACTCCGAGCTCACCCAGCACAAAGCACCTATTTAGATACAGGTGCAGAGGAAATCGAGTCAGTCAATGAAGCATCAGGTGGCAGGCTTGGGTCACTACTTCATTTTGGGCAGATAAAAATCAAACCCCTCGGAACCCATAATTCAGAATTATAGTGCTAAAGTCCCATTTGAAGACAGGTAGAAATCTATCTTCAGCCAGAGGGTGAAGTGTGGCCAGTTATGACTAACTCTTCCCTGACTTACAAAAAAATGCCTTTTCCTAAGTCTCTATCATTCAGATCAACAACAAAGGCTAGGTCAAAGGAGTACACGTGATTTCACAGATGATCTCTGCCCATTGCTGCTGTTGGTTGAGAAGAACAAATGATCACTGTGCAGCAAGTACTCTGCTCAGGCCGGTGGAGAGACTGACATCCTACCATGTTCTTAATGGGCAGTCTCAGAATGGTAAAGTCAAGATCATCAGCAGAGTGGTTTGAGATTTAAAAGGAAAGGAGCAGACAGCAGAGGAGCTCACTAGCTGAAGGTCACACAGGACTGACAGAATGGGTGCCCTAATGGGACTGTAAGAGGCTACCAGGAGTCTTCAGGCATTACCAACAACATCCTCCACTGTCAAACTCTGAAAGAGTAGCTAAAGACCCAAAATCTTATCAGGAGAGGGCCTGACATATAAAGGCCTCTGCTCTGGCCTTAACAAAAAAAAGTAAGTCCACTCATCTACAAAGTAAGCAAGGCACTGATGGGACCTGGACACGAGACAAACATAGAAACACCACTGGAGAGCTTGCTGTGCTGCTGCTCGCTAGCAAGGCCCTGTATGCCAGCTGTTGCCCCCCAGTTGCCCCTTTCTTGCCCTACTCCAGGAGCACTAACACTTTTAAAGACTCACCTTTTGTAAGGCAATTTCTTGGTGCAGAATTGACACTTTGAGCTTCAAGGCAAACAGGTCGCTCAGCTCCTGGAAACTGGAGTAACAAAGGAGAGGCACAGCCAGCATGCCTGCACTGTCACACGTCTGTCCCCTGGGAGGAACACAGGCTGGAGAGCAGCTTCCTATGTCCCCAGTGCAGTCTGGGCGCAGCCTCACCTGGGACTCCACAGCTGCCAGAGTGGAAGAATTGGCAGGAGGCAGAAATACACAAGTTAAATCTGTACTTGCAGAATAGAATCATGAAATGGTTTGGGTTGGATGGGACCTTTAGAGGTCAGCTAGCCCAAAACCCCCTGCAATGAGCAGGGCCATCTTCAACCAGATCAGGTTCCTCAGAGCCCCAACGAACCTGGCCTTGAACGTTTCCAGGAACTGGGCCTCCACTACCTCTCCGGGCAACCCATTCCAGTGTTTCACCGCCCTAACATACATGATCTACTTACTGTTTTTAGAAATGAATGACTAAAGACATTGTACTAGTCAGGGTAAACTCCTCACACACAGAACAATCAGGCCACCTTAAGCTATGGTATGCATTCTCCCGTATGTCTCAATAGCTCCATCACCAGCCCTCCTGAATTGCAGCAGCTAAAAGTCCCAAGCCTCTCTGGAACACAGGTTGGTGGCAAACAGATACCATGGCTTTGCTTGCCACCAAAGAATTTTACATGCCAGATCATAGATAAAGATAACCAGAAGAAAAATTATGTTGGCCCACAGTGTTCTGCACACAGATAGCAAGCTGCTGTTCAAGCATAGCTGGCCACATTCACACCTGACTACAAAATCAGGTACAGGCTCACCTGCTCGCAGAAGCTGCAGCTTATTCAGGCACTGGGAAACCTTGGTTTGCAAACCCTCCAAGGTTAGAAGGCTTTCATACTCTCTTTGTAGAGTGGGATGGTCTAGAAGAGAAGCAGAAGAAACCAGCAGGTATGAGCATACTGAAACCTTCCCCCCACAAACAACAGTTTCTAGAAAGGCCTTGGGTTCACCAGCCCTCATTTTAGGTAGAGAAGGCTCCTGTCCCTCATGTCCAGCACATGCTAAGAGCACAAGACACATGGAACCGGAGCCCACTGAAATCATCCTTACTCCACCTGCTGCCCTCTCCAGTCCCCCTTTTTGTTTTTCCCCCTCCTTACCTGCAGGCTCAGCTTCCACATACTGGCTCAGAAGAGAGGGGACATCCTGCAGGACTTTTAATTCCTCCTCTATCTCTGCAGGACTGAAGGCCGGCATTGGTGAACAAAACTCAAAGAGCAGCAGCTTAAGGAAGGTTTCGCATCACCAGCTCTGTGCCCTACCCTGAGCCCTGGGCCGGGCTAGTCGGGATCAGTGGCACAGGGCAAGCAGCTCGTGAAGCAGCGTTGCCGATGGAAGGCGAGGACAGTACTGCTGTGTATGGCATGCTTGGCTTGTGGCCTTGTCTGTCTGGATCAAAAGTTTTATGACTGCTCAAGAGCTGCACTATGAGAAAAACACTTCCTAGACACCCAGCTTGAACTCCTGTTATTGGAAGCATAACTCTCTCCAGATAGGAGCACGCTGCAGCCTGATTGCACCCGGAGCCTGCCGTACTGCACCACGTGCTCGTGGAAGGGGGTAGTGAGCTGAGAAAGGATACGGTTGACTGGATCCTCTCTATAAAATGGCTCCTTGCAGCTGCTGCATCTGCACTCGTTTGGCAGAGACGACATCTCTCCCATGTCCTGAAAATTCAAAACGGGCAGGAGGTGGAGTTCTGCTCCATTGTAGCAGACAGTGCTCACACCTAGCTGCGACACACCAATATGACATATCAGCACTTAAATACAAACATCTTCCTCACCCCTCTTTCACAAGTTATTTACTAGCCATTCCTCCCACCATTTTTGACAGCTGGTATTAGATCAACAAGGATACCCCGCAGAAAGCATTAGACACTGCAAAACACCTATGTTAATTCTCTTAACTTGTTTTGCGGGGAAGGACTTACAGCCATGATAAGAGAGACAACAGATTTCTATAAGCAGAATGTGAACCTGCAGAACATCATTAATTCTGTCTTATCACCCTACCTATGCGATTCCTTCATATGCCAAGGCTCCTCAGGACTTTTCTTTAATACTGTTTTTTTTTTTTTTTTTGACACCGTGGTATGTTTGGCAAGAAGCATGACAGCAGTGCATCAGTGTCAGGGACACAAAGCATAGAGGTTTAGGACAGTATCATAACTAAGATGGCCAGGACCTTGTATCAGAGTCCAGCCTTCAAAAGAAAGTGTTACAGAAATAGTAATGCTACCAGAGAGGTGCATTTCACTTGTAGAGTTCAACATCCCCACTGAAGCACAGTCCCCATAATAACTTTTAAGTAAAGGATTGCTTTAAAGAGCCAGTGCATCCCAGCCAGTCTCCCAAAACCTGCCGGAATAAGTAACAGCTATCACGAGGAAGCTTAAAATAGTTATGCAGTGCATGACTGTAACCCCAGTATGCATGTTTCTTCTCTCCATCCAAATGGATCGTTTAAATCATGATAGAAACTGCAATTTTCAAAAACACATTATGCAAAGAAATAGCAAGGTTAATGGACCAGAAAAGAACAGAAGTTACCAGGCAAGATGCATTCCCTCTGTAATGGATCTTTAGAGCGAAGGTTATTTTCAGTCTGTCACCGAGTTGAAAGTAATAGTGAAGAGTGTAAAATTACACCAGAGTGATTAGGAGGCTGAAAGGCTCAATTTACAAGTGAATATTAAGGGAATAAAGTGTTTACCACCCGCTGACGGGCAACTAACAAATTAGTGTCTGATAAATGACAGTTCCCAAGAGGAAGAGGAATTATTGAGGGTAGCACAAGCAGCTATAGCTAGATTTAAAATAGGGTTTAAACTTAACATCTGGACAAACCGCATAATGAGAAGTCTGCTGAATTACAGCAAGATTTCTCAAAGGAAATGGTGGGCAACCCTTCCAGAGTACTGGAGAACAGACTAGAGCACCAAGTTCACCAGAAACCCAACCACCTGCACCATCAGTGCAGTAATACTGTAACTGGTTCTCTTTAAGAGAGTTCATCAGCAGCAGGAATCAGATTCGTACGCACACAGCCACAGTACCGCCAGGCTAGAGAGGTGCCCCAGCAGTGCAGTTCAGGTCAGCAACCAGTTGGGAAAATCCTTCGTTGTACAGAGTATACAGGCACACCCCCCCACAGGGTTTCCTGTCTTCAACTACTAGTATACAGTATCAGCAGAGACTTCTGCAGCACTGTTAACCCCATGACTAAAGCATTCCAGTACCTATACAACTTGGGGATGAACAGGGATTAGCACTCTGAAAATAAGTGTAACACTAGTGGCTAGAATAACATGAAAACACACATCCTCAGAAACAGCCTTCCAGAGACACTGTATCGAACCACTCCTCCTGCTCGGAGTTCAGGCCCCACACACTGTGGGGTCTGTGTCCCACAAACCAGCCAGGTCTCCCCCACGTGACCCCTCCTCACAGCCCTTAAGCAGAGGGTAGTTGTGGATGGGACAGATCAGGCTGGTCTTACCTGGAGTTCCTGGAATAGGCTTTCCTGTAGGGAAGGGGTAGCTTCAGACGGCACCTACAAAATAAGGGAACCATCAGTCTTGACTTCCAGAGAGTAGCAGATCCTTTTCTTCAGAGAAAACGACGTTTTGTCTAAATTTGAAATTAATTTAGCTGTAACGGAAGGTGTCAGCAACCCTGAAAATTGAATCCACCATTGCCTTCAGCCTGTCCTCAAGGAAGGAGGATCAGTCTGCTTGTTCATTTCCACAAGCATCACTGATCCGACTTGGGAGAGCTCCCGCATCCTGCCACCAGCTGTCAGAGGTTCGTCCAAGGTGAGAAGCTGGGGGCAGAGCCCTGACAAGGCAGACTACAGACATGGAAACAACACGTTTAGGAAAGCTGATCGCTACAGACCTAAGCACAAGCAGATCTCCCTGACTCTGCTGCCATACCCGAGCACGATGAGGCAGCTTTGCTTAGCTGCTTAGCACCACATTGCACTCAAGGAAACAGGAAAGGGACATTTCAGCTTCCATCGGGAATATACATCTTAACTCTGAAGCAGAATAACTCCTAACTTGTTATTGCAAAAACATGTGGGTTGGCAGTTACAGCTAGAGTCACATGCAGACATGAGAACAGAGTTTGGATTTTAAGTAAACAAACATTTGAATCCAGATTCCTGTTCCCCCAGCAACTGTTTGTCAGCATCCTGTGTCTCTTCCAACACCACAAGACCAGTGATAATCTCCTCCCCGCACAAACACAAGTTGGGTTGTGGCAGTTGAGAATGATTTCTTAACGTTTTCCAGGCACAGGCATGCATCAGATCTGAACTTCATAATTTCTTTAAAGCAAAAAGCACATAGAATATAGAATTTTTTTTAAACAAGACAGATTGGCCTGAATGCAAATCCAATCTTCTTTTTCCACAGAGAATCTCAGCAACATTCACTTCATAATTCTTCCTACACCAAACACTTGAAACTACTGCATTCTAGTCAATACTGATTTGTGTAATTACACAGGCAGTATCTTACAGGTTAAAGGGTCTATTGTTAAACCCAGATGCCATCTCTCTAAACAGCATTGGGCATATGCTTTTCTGAGAGAGAGAGAATTCATGCATTACATATTAGCATTATGTAAGGAAGAAAAAAAAAAAAATCAATAAGATGTAATACATAGCGCACTCAGAGGAAAACTAAGATTCAGGAAGGGTCTACAGAGACAACTTTCCAAAACACTCACAAGGGGCTATGAAATATCAAGTGTCTGTTTATTAAAACACTTTCAAAGTTCCAGCCATCCAAGAGAAAGCCCTTAAAATGAAAACACTTACTCAATCACAACAAAGGCTTTTAAACTGCAAAGAATCCTTCCTCTTGAGAAGGATCTGAGCAGCGGTGAAACCCAGCTGGGCCCTACAGAGCAATCAAAGAGCAGGCTTCGCAGATGTGCTAGTCTAAATGTCAAGCAGAACAAGACAGAGGTGCCCATCTCTCAGCACTTACCCCTTTTCCTGCAGGGTCACTGTCCGAGGCGAGGTGGTTCTTCTCAACACACCTTCAGTTGTGGTGTCCTGCCTTCTGCTGGGCTCTCCCAGAGAACTACAGCTTTTCTTCTCTGCATCAAGTAGGTGCCTACCAGCAGCTAGAGAGCTCTTTCCCCCAGCTGAATCCCCTATGGAAAAGCTTTGCTGCTCATTCAGGGCAGATCTGGACAAGCCAGGTATCTTTTGGGATTCAGATGCAGCACAGGTCTCTCTGTCACTGGAGCTGATTGCTGTCTTATGACATCCTCCTTGTTTGCAAGCCACCCCTTTTGAGGAGCTCTTCCCAGCTGTCCTTGGACCTTGAGAAGCACATCTGGCTGGGGCTTTTCTTTGCAGTTTTTTCACCTCTGGGTCAGTCCTGTAAGGGGCTCTTAACTGGTATGGAGAGGGTTTCTTCAAAGAGGCAGGCTTTTTGCTCAAAGCTCTCACCTTTGTGCTCTCAGGAACACCCTCAACAGGTGCAGGCACTTGTTGCTCTTCAGCATTCTTGGGAGCAGGTCCCTCACCTGCAGATGTCTCTCTTATAGCTCCCTGGGCCTCTAATGGAGTTTTCAAGATGCTTTTCCTGACTCTCAGTGCCTTCTCTAAGGCCCTGTTCAGCAGTTCCAGCTCCTCCAGCTCCCTGGGTGAAGGCCTGTTCTCTGCAAGAGGAGAAGACATAACAGAAGATCCAAACCTGGATCTTCCCCATTTGCTGCGATACTAACTCACTCTTCCAGGTGTTACAGAAGGAAACCAAACCCACTGAGTGGTGCAGCGGGTTTGGCCACACTCCCACATCGACTATCTGGAGAATGCAAGCAGGCTTTCCACCAGCCCTGAACACCCCAGGACAGACAGGAGACACAGGAGAGGACAGTTCTCCAGAGCTAGCCTCCCGTTTGCCACAAGGGACAGCCACCGCGCTTCAGTCGGGCCCGCGGACACTTCATCGCTGGCCTCGGTTACCGTGGCTAGCAGCAAGGAGGACAGCACGAGGAAAGAGGTAGAGGAGGGCTTTCAAGTCTACGCAGAGCACCAGAAGGCCTTCTGCCACCGGAGCTGGCCCAACCCCGGTGAGGCTGAGGGCCCTGGGGCGCGGGG